CCCTCTGTCATACAACAGTTCCACTGGCCTTGAATCACAGAATCAGGGTAACAACACTTTATTCTTCCTGCCCCAATAACAGAGAAACTGGGGTTCCCACACCAGCCAAAGTAACCACTTTCAGTTGTTGTTGTCCCAGGCTAGGCGGGTGGGTGTGCCTATGCAAACAAGATCAGCCCCCGAAGTTCTTTTCCACCCTCGCCATAATTCACCACCAGATGTCAGAGTAGAGCTTATTCTGACTCTGCTTACACTTAGGCTACATGAACCATGGCAAAGGCCTGTACACACACACGCACACACAGAGAGGTGCAGATTAAAAGCACAAGCAATGTGCATGGGCCTAGTATTGACCAGAATATAGATGTATTTTAACACTGCTTTTACAGCGTATGTATACACGCACCCATCTTAGTGGCCAACTCATGTATTTCCAGAATTAAGCCCTCAGTTCAGTGTATATATATCTCAGGATTTTTTTCCTCTCAATGTCTGCTTCATGAACAGATAAAGAAATTAAAAAGACCAAGATTATTTTGGAAAGGAGACGAGTAGAAAGAGCCATGAAGGAAATATATAAAATAATCAGCCCATGGTTATCTAGGGTGGGGATGGTTACCTAAGGTGTGTTACTTATTTCCCTCCCTAACATAACAGCAAAGAAGCACTCTGAAATTAAAAACAGTACACTGAAAACGGAGATGAATTATTTTTACTATACAGTTACCCTTATAAATTTAATCCTAGCTATTTAACACTCATTCTTCAGAGCATAAACTGTTCATCAGTTGGATCAGGAAGATATTTGAAAATACTGCAGAATTACCTTCCTTTGGAGCATCTGAAATTAACACCACTGAAGGGAAAGGACTCCTCCCTGCCAAAGGAGGGAAACAATTCTACATTATAGAGGAAACTTCATGGAGAGAACCCCATGAAGCTTCCAGGCCCCTGTGCAGGAGTAGTCACATCGAGGATGAAACAGTTCTAAAGATACTGTCATCATATTTTGTGGGCAAAAACCTTCATTCTTAATTTAATGTTGGAATTTTCCATATCTTTGAATCATTTAATAAACAATGCTGTAGTACAGTTTTTTCTTGCTTCCTTAAAAATGCTTACCACATAAAAACTGATTTATTAAAATAAATGTTATTGCTAACGATGTATAAGTTAGACACCATTCGCTCTATACCAGTGGTTCTCAAACTTTTTTTCCGCGGACCACTTGAAAATTGCTGAGGATCTCGGCAGACCACTTCATGATCTTTCCAAATGTTGCTTGTACTGTTAGCTAACTATTGTAAAGCACTTTCATAGTTTCATAGACTCTAGGACTGGAAGGGACCTCGAGAGGTCATCGAGTCCAGTCCCCTGCCCACATGGCAGGACCAAATACTGTCTAGACCATCCCGGATAGACATTTATCTAACCTACTCTTAAATATCTCCAGCGATGGAGATTCCACAACCTCCCTAGGCAATTTATTCCAGTGTTTAACCACCCTGACACTTAGGAACTTTTTCCTAATGTCCAACCTAG